CTTCTGGTGAGAGTCAAAGTTGTGTCTTTAATAGTATACCCATAAATTAAGTATGGGCATACCCATAAATTAAGTATGCATGACATACATAAAAGGTTACTTTGCCAATAGGCATACATGACTTACTAAAAACAGATAAATGATAAAGAAAATGTGGAGCTATAAAAATAGCATATTAAAAAATGTTATAAAGTAATGGTTTTTAAAGTAAGGTAAACCTGGAGCAAAACAAACTGTAATAATTATGTGCAAATGTTTAGGGATGTGCATTTCAGAAAATGAACAGTTCTAGTTTTCATTAGATTCCCAAAGAACGTATGACAATGAAAAACAACGCTAAAGATTAATGAGGCAACAGTTAAACAACTTTAAAATTGAACCAAGGGAGGGAAATCTTCAAAACACATCATGATTTATTCTCTACTAGAAGTATAACAACATAAGGTATGAACTCACTGTCTTCGTGTCTTGGGAAGAAATCCTACCATCTCCATAGCCAGTTGTAAGCGTTCAAAGTCATGCCTCAAATCTTCTCCTTCCACTGTGAAGCAATCCTGTTTAAACAAGGGGGAAATAACCAAGATTACTGGTTTTTAATAATGTGAGCCTTTCAGAAATACGGTATTTTAAGATAAGTGTACCTATATATAAATACAAATTAGAGCTGGTGGAGTATTTAGACACAGAGTTAATAGACCTCTTATTTCACTAAGTAAATAAAGTAAAAATGTACCTACCAAAATATCAGGTTACTTTTTTCTTCCTTTTACAATCACCAAAACATTGATTTCAAAAGTAACTTAAGATAAAAAGCTAGCAGTTCTTATTTTTAAAAATCCTGAAACCAAGATTGGTTTTAGGAAGTTCTGAAGAGTTCTGCAGATTCAAGGAATTTATAAGAGTTCAATTCCTCTAGCAAATGTTTGTTCAACAAATATCTAGTAAGCACCCACCATAAACAGGGCACTGAACTAAATTCTGGTAATATCAAAACAAATTATAGATGAAGCAGTAATGTAGTTAGGAAGTAGATCCTAAACTCATAAATTGTTCCTAATGAAGTTAATATAGACAACACAGAAACCAACCAAAGAAAGAAGTATATGGCAAAATACAAAAGCCTTCAACAAATACACTCTACAAGAGCCAATAAAAACAGTTGCAGACTATCAAGTTTTTTTAGTGTAAACTGCATTCCAGTTCCCAAAAAGTCAAACAGTAACATTGTAGATATAATCTAAATCTTTAAATCCCTTTACTACATGTTCTTACACTCCTTTCTATTTGCACTGTCTAAAACCTCTCATGGTATTTACTTCTTTAATCCCTCTTCTCCAAAGAATTCCCATAAACAGAGAACTACTACCTGAATTTTTTACTGATACTTCATTTTGTTTTTCTTCAATCAGGTTTTATATTACCTGTCTTACTGCATCAAGTCAGTGAGAAAAATACAGTAAGGAATTACAGGAGTACATAATCCTTAAATTACTGAAATGAACTAAATGAAAAATTCCTTCTTGAGAAATAAAGTACTCATTCAAAAAAAAAAAAGCTATGTATTGAGAATCATGTCTAAAAAGAAAGGAGTGGGGGGCTTAGTTCAGCAGACGAAATGTCTGCTTAGGCAAGTGCAAGGGGCTTGACCCTTAGCACCACGTGCTGTGGCAGCTCTGCCCCCAGGAACAACAAATGAGTCAGTCTGGTTGTGGCACACACCTATGATCCCAGCGCTGGGGAGGCTAAAAACAGGAGGATAACTACAAGTAAAAAAAATAAAAAATAAAGATAAAGATAAAGAAAACAAACTTGTTTTAGGTATTGTAACAATGCGTTAAAGAATACATCTAAAAATAAAATTTTAATTGAACACTTAGAATGGTGTTGGAAAAAAAGAAAAAAAGAATGGTGTTGGCAGGGGAGATAGCTCAGTAGAATAACCGCTTTCCTGTCAAGAGCAAGGGCCTGAGTTCAATCCCTGGTTCCGCCAAAAAAAAAAAAAAAAAAAGAATGGTGTTGATATTTTTATTTTCTAGGTGGGCATGATGGCATACACCTATAATCCCAGCACTTGGGAGGCTGAGGTATAACAATCACAGGTTCAAGCCCAGCTTGGGCTACACAGTGAGTTTCAAGGCCAACCTGAACTATACTGCAAGACTATCTCAAAGAACAGAATAGTTCTTTATTTTTAAATTTTCTATAAGAAGTATATATATACATAATTAAAATTTTTAAATTTTCTGCAATAAAAGTTCTGAGAATACATTTAATTTTCAGTCTATAAATTTCTCGCAAGCAATTTTAAGACATATTCTATGGACATGATGTCCTCACTAAGCCATTATTTTTCTTTGACATATAGCAAATCTTTTCTTTTTTTTTTTTTTGGCAAACCTTTTCTAAAAAATTCCTTCACATAGCCTTCCCCAGAAATCATTTCATTCATTTTATGATTTAGAAGCAATTTTCTACTAAGTAGAAGGTAAACAGATCTATTTTTCCACTTGTACAAACTCAATGATACAGCAATGATTCTTACAAAAACTAACTTAAGCAATTAATGTCTATAGAATATTGGGAAAGTAAAATAAAGGAGCACTAAAATATAAATGCAATTTTTTCAAATGTGTTCTGATTTCCTTAGCTGTGTCCCTGATGACAACTGTAGAAGAAAAACTAAAGATAAATCCACCAGGCCAAAAATGCCCTTATTTTAGCTTAGGTATTTTAATTCAGGAAATTTTAGGAAGCTGACCCTAAGGGAGACAAAGACTCAAGTGTAAGTAGGAAGGAAAGTGCTATCAGGGCTTTTTTTTTTTTTTTTTTTTTTCCCCCCTTGGAATAAAGAGAACCATTTCTTACAAATGTATGGTCTAAAGCCACAGTAACCAATCTATGGCATGAGTCAAGAACTTATATATACTAGATCAGACAGCTCTAATTCTAGTCATTTCTAGAAGGTCCTATAAGAACACAAGGGTATTCCAAAGCTCTGGGAAAAGCATTCAAGTCACAAGACACAAATACCGCTCAGCCATAGAACATGTCAGGATCCAAGGAAAGCCAAGGCATGACCCAACAATTCTTAGAATCCCTTCCACTGAAAGATACCAATTAATCCCTGGATCCAATTCAGCAAAAGCTCTTATGTTAACTCCTAATACACTACTTCATGTCCTCTGTACACACAACCAAAAAAAAAAAAAAAAGAAAAATTCCTTTACCACTTAAGTAGGTCTGAGAACAAATTAAGTGAACTGCCCAGTCTCACAACTAATAAGCAGGGCTGGGGAGATAGCTCAGTAGAATAACTGCTTGCCTGGCAAGCGCAAGGGCCTGAGTTAAATCCCTGGTTCCGCCAAAAAAAAAAAAACAACTAATAAGCAGATGAGCCAGTAGTCAAGTCAATCTTTTTCAAAGACCAAATTCTTAAGCATTTCTTAGACCACCTCTGAACAATAGTAAATCAGTTCTGTCCCACTGTAAATTTTGAACAGATAATCAGTTCTGCTATCTACAATATGCGTTTGCAGTGCCACACCTGCTTCCCAAGGAGGCATAATGCATTAGATGTAGTAAGACAGAAAGGAGAAACATCTTGAGAGTGACAAAACAACTTAAAAATGTTTTATTCAAATTCATTAGGATATGTACAATTTAAATGTCTAACATGGATTTCAAAAAAATGTTAAACTTACACTTGGGGAGGTAGCTCAGTGGTATAAGTTCCTACTGGGCAAACACAAGGCCCCAAGATCAATCCCTGGTACCAAAAAAATGTTAAACTGAACCCAAAATTTTCCTCAGTATTATGAAATGGCAATGCATACACTTTGAACAAAAAAACTAATATTCACCAGACAACCGGAGCCGCGGGATCCTGAACAGACCCAGAGCGCAGGCCCGGAGAGTAAGTGAGACAACCGGAGCCGCGGGATCCTGAACAGACCCAGAGTGCAGGCCAGCTAGTGAGTGAGACAACCCAGGGCCTGGCGGGATCCTGAACAGACCCAGAGTGCAGGCCCGGCGAGTGAGTGAGACAACCGGAGCTGCGGGATCCTGAACAGACCCAGAGCGCAGGTTCAGTGAGTGAGACGACCCAGGGCCTGGCAGGATCCTGAACAGACCCAGAGCACAGGCCCGGAGAGTGAATGAGATGACCCAGGCCGCTGGATCCTGAACAACCCAGAGCACAGGCCCGGCGAGTGAATGAGACGACCCGGGGCCGCGGATCCTCATTTGACCCAGGCTGCATGCAGGCCCAGCACGGAACCCTTCAGCAGAACTCCCTGCAAAGAGGCTAGAGGCAAGACCCACCCAGCTGATTCAGGAGCAGAACATCTTG